CATTTAAGAAATTATATAACTATATCATATATACTTTATCCCAAATTATAATAAAAGATATATTTCAAATATCCTAGCTTTTTTTATCTAGATTATTTAAATTCTTAAATTTGACAGCAATACACCAAACTACACAATGACCTGGGTTTCAGTAAGATCAATATATTACTAAGATAGCTGTATAGTTTGATGAAAAAACAAGTTGATTTGAAAAAGTTATAAAAAAAAATAAAGTGTACTATCTGAATTTTGTCCGAAATTGCAAATCCTTGCTTTTTTTACCTAGATTGATTTGAATCCTAAATTCAACAGCAATACACCAAACTACATAACAACCTGGGATTCAGTAAGATCAATATATTACTAAGATAGTTGTATAGTTTGATGAAAATCCAAGTTGATTTGAAAAAGTTATTAAAAGAATTAAAGTGTACTATCTGAATATAGTCCTAACTGCAATTCTAGTTTTTTTACCTAGATTAATTTAATTCTTAAATTTGACAGCAATACACCAAACTACATAACGACCTGTGATTCAGTAAGATCAATATATTACCAAGACTCTGAGCAGTTTGTAGTGTAGACTTCTCCCTTTCTGCATTAAAATCAGGAAACACAATATAAATTTAACTGGTACATACAAGCACGTACCAAGAGTACTAGATCCCTTCAGTCTGTAAGAGATTGAAAGAAACCAGTGTAAATAAAGTGAAATGATTCTATTTCTTCATTTGTTTTGCATTTTTACGCAAGTTTCATTCACGATTTAAATTTACTGAACATAAATTGACACACGCAATAAACCGGAAATTTGAACTACTATGATTGTTAGCTAATTTATTATGACGTCACTTTAATACTGGTTCCCTTGCAATTGTTTGTCCTCTCAGAAAAAGACTGGCAATCATTACCATAAAAGAGAGGCGAAGAATACCAAAGGGAAATAAAAAGTTAAATAACAAAAATATCGAACTCCAAGGAAAATTCAAAACGGAAAGTCCTGAATCAAATGGCAAAATCAAAAGCTCAAACACATCAAACGAATATCATAAGATATATCTGAACACCAGTATATTATCTTTGTGTTGAGAACTCGTTAACAAAATACAAAAAGGCCGATACGACAAAGTCACAATCTACACTTCATATAAAACTATAATAAACATTTACCAATTTATTGATTGTCATTAATTAGATATTCACACCGTACCAACTGCTTAATATTATCAAAATTTGCTCTCATTTAGGAATACAACAATAGCATATTAATATAGATATCATATTATTGACATTTTTAATGCTCTTTTGAATTGAAAAAAACATACTGAAATATTGTTAAAATGACTTAAATATTGGTAAAGCCATTTTGAATTTGAGCTGAGAAATTTCTCATACGAAACTGCACTTATTTTATTTTATGTTTAACTGTAAAGTACCTGAATTACTGTCAGTGGAATTATTGCAAGCTGATGTTTCATAAGGTGCAAATTTTAACCTTTTCTTTGTCTGTGTTATTGTATATTGTCTAGTAACTCGGGTTTTTCTTTTCAAAAATATGTTAACGCTGAGTAAAAACCAAATTTATATAATAGAAAAAGAATACAAATGATTCAATAAACACCTAAAGCTCTTTAGTAAATTAAATACGTTAACCCTCAATTCATTCTTACTTGTCTATATCAGTGTTTTCAAGTTAGATTAACTGTATACCGCCATCTTTGACTGAGAAATAGCAGTACTTAATTGGTCTAACTCTTTGCTTAAATCTGCAAGTTTTGCGACAGATTGACAATTATTGAGTAAGTCTTGAATTGCCTTATTTCGACTATTTTAACAAATACCAAATATTTGTTTTTGTTCGAATCAATGTTTTAACTTAACAATTTCAGGGGAGATTACAATAAAACAAAAGATTTTAAAAAGAAATGTTAATGAAATTTTAACAATTGTAGTAACTCATATATATGATAGTTGTTTTCCATCCATTCCATTGGTTGATAACGTTTAATGTGTTCAGCATTAATGACCTATAATGGTTTACTTTTATAAATTTTGACTTGGATGGAGATTTGTCTCATTGGCACTCATACCACATCTTCTTATATCTATTCCCGTTTTTGAATTAACCTTTGAGTTCGGTATTTTTGTTGTACATTTTTTCATAAATAATTTCAGTACCAAAACACTAACTAATGAGTTGATGAAACCCTCCAGGACCAACAGTCAATCAGAAGTGGTATCGTCTCAGTATTATTGCACGAAATAAACACTTAATTTGTGTGCGTCAGGAGTGCTTTATTTTTATATTTGCTTTATCAATTACGATAAGCAGTGTTTGAATATTTTTTAACCAAATTTCCCACCATAAACTCATCCAAAATTTCTTGTTCCTACCTAAAGAGTTATCTTAAATAATAAATTGTTTTATAAAATTTTACGAGGCAGTGGTAAAGGTTCCAGATATCGATCTTCATCATCAGAATGTAAATTGTCATTCATTAACATTTAGCCAATCAAATTGCAAGCCACAGATGTACACAAGGAAGATGTCTTTCTTAATATTGATGATGTTAAGATAAGAATATAACTGAAAAAAAATGAAACTGCAGATGTTGTTGTTATTATTGGAAAATAATTTTCTTATCAGGATTTTGACTCTAAATTGCGTATATTATTTAAAGTACAATTTCCTTCTCTATCAAACATGCCCATTTTCAGAATTGAAATCCAATTTTCTCACCCTCATCCAATTCGATCTACTTTACTGAATCTCATACTTGATTTATTATTTCTATGTATTTTCCATTGACAATTAGCAAACAACAATAACATAAAAGAAGAATGTGTCTGAGGACACGTATGCCCCAGCTCATACTTTGCAATTTTTCAAGTTGAAAAGAGGCATAACTCTAGAACGGTAAGTGACGCAAAGCCCAAATGCGATTTTTGGTTTTTCGTAGCATTGTGTATGAGTTTCATACAATTTGGATGAGGAAAATTTAAGTTACAGTGCGGGAACGAAAATGATACGGACGGAAAGACGGTCAAGGGTAACACTTAATGCCCCAATTGCCTATGGGGGGCATAAAAAGTATTAAAGCAAAATGGAAACTTCAATTGTAACCAATGACACATGACATGGGACCTTTTTTGAATATGTCTTCTCATTTCTTTGCTAATTATTTTTGTTATGAATACATGTATATGCACAAATATGAATAAGTACATCACTTGTCAATAACGATATGTATTTAGTAACACTGTTAACGTCTGAGGTCTATATTTGTGGTGCTCAAAGAAAACAGCGATAAAATGCCTCTGACAGTGTTCTCGACTATAATAGGTACACGAGCAAGCGTAAGGTATAATCTAGTTTTAGACTTCAATCCTGTCCCCTTTATTCTTTATTAGTCAAAAAAGCAAAGACACTTGCAAGAACGTAAAGTAAACAAGGAAGAAGAACAAGGAGAACAATTAACTCTTTGATATATAATAATTGGGAATATTTTTGAATAGGACAAAGTCGGTAGGTTGAGAGATTTAACGGCCATCTTATTTATCACTTTGATTGACAGGACATTGCTCTCCTAAGGTAATACTCTGATATCTCGTATCGGCCAGATGTAACATATTGACAGTGAAGTTTGTAATTTGTACGGTTCTTTATCGTAACTCTGTTCGATGAGATTTATTTGTTTCAGGAGCAAACCAATGTTTCTGAAGTCCGCATAATGTGTAAACGCATAACATTCAGTACGAATGTGGACTATCCTCGAACAATTGTCAAATATATAGTTTTGAATTATCAGTAAAGATTGAATTTGTGATAGAATAATATAAACATTCGCATGCATTAAAACTTCTCAACTTGACCAATGAATGATTTGTATAAAATTGTAAAAGGCCACTTCAACAACTACATTTAAACACTTTACAAAATGTTGTATTCAAACAAAACAGTGGAAAACGACAGAGTCTGTTCGTCGTTTTCCTTGAACCATGAGGGAAGACAATTGATAAATTGTATAGTTTTAAACAGAAAACATTTTTTTCCTAAATACCTTTTATTATTATGAACGTTGAACGATTATTTTTGAAAACAAAGTACAGGAAACATACAAAACCGTAAATTTGATTGCACTGTAAATTTCTTTTCTTTCGGTGTCGGTTGAACGGTAATAATCAAACCTGTTGAAATAATGTTTCAGTTAGGTTAAGATGGGAAAAAAGTCTATTGTTTTCATGTATCGATGAACAAATCGGATCAATATAAGAAAGGTCTCTCTTTGGTGGCAGTGATAGAAAATATCAACATAGTTTCACCTTGAAAACAACATATGTTGTGCACTATATATACTTACCAATTATGGACTTTTGAAGAGGTCAATACGTTATATATGGACCTGTTCAGATTATATTGACCGAGGACGAAGTCCGAGTGTCAATATAATCTAACAGTCCATATATAGAATATTGACTGAGTGAAAGTCCTTAATTTATATATTACATATATAAATAATGTATTAGAAAAATGGACTTCAATGTTCTTTATGTGTTTTTTTTTAATTTCATTTTGCAAGATTTTTAACATGCTATTGAAAATATTAATAAATAAGATTAACTTGTTTTATTGTAGACAAAATCACAACATTTGTTTTCCTGTTTAGAACAAATAAGAATTCAAATGGAACTCATTTCAATTTACTTGCAAATTTTCTTTTCGTACTCTGCGGCGCTTCCGCCATGATTGTTATGTGTGACGTCACAGATTTTTAACATTAACCGTCAATATACGTATAAATAGAAACATAGCGTCAATATACTTAAAAATAGAATCAAGGCTTCAGATACATGAACTTTTATTTGAAACACGTGATCGTAATATCCAATGAAAACAGGAGAATGCTACATCATATGTAATATATGTATATATATAAGCGCCTAAATGTAAAGATTTCTATGCAAATATTTGGATAGGGCAGTTGTCCTAGAGATTGCAAATGATGTTCAGATACGATATAATAACCCTGGTATTAGTAGCTTTAGTTGTTCAATCAATTCAAAGTAAGTGTTTTTATCTTTTATTTGTCAAGTCATATCAACACATGTGTTAGTGGCGTTTAATAAATTCAAAGTATATATATCTTTCAATATTTTTAAAATACTTCTATATCAGTATTTTGTAATTTTTGAATTTTTTTATGTCAATTATGTTTTCATTTCTTTTATGAATAGTGAACTTATACATGTTTTGACTAAACTTTGAACATTTGTTTATCTCTTATTAAAATGAGAAAAAAAATACTTCAACATAAATACAAATTATCCATTGTCTACTGATAGAAAAATAAACAAATATATAAGCAATCAATGAATTCAACATCGAAAACTTTTCAACAAATGACAGATAAACACAATAATTCGCAAACTATCATAGTGCATGAGTTAATTTTCACAGATGTGAGGTCAAGGTTCGAATAATTTTTAAAATTTGTATTTATGGATGAATTATTCTTTTGATGACTTATAACGTATACTAAATAAATTTTTCAATGCAAAGAACTATATATTTTTCCGTGAATTTCACACCGTCTTATTGCAATGTCTTTGGCAACAATGGTTTGACCCCAAAGAAATTCATTTAGAAAAATAATTTTAAATGCAGTGACAAAATGGTCTTTATTTTAAAGGAAAACCACGGTATTTCATTGCAACCAATGTAAGAACATAATTTATCTTAAAACAGGTTAAACGATTAGCATAATGTAACAGTGTACGTTTAACTTGATGATGTTTGGACACATATCATATGCATTTCAGGTAAAATATGCAACAAAAGTCACACAGAAGGATCCTCCGAAGGTAAGTTATTATTAGCTCATATCAAATATTCGTATTTTAATCCTTAATTTTCTGTTATTGTGAAGACGTTTTACCACGCTTTGTCTTACCCCCAGTTTTTGGTGGGGTTCGTGTTGCTTAGTCTTTGGTTTTCTATGTTGTGTCATCTGTACTATTATTTGTCTGTTTGTCTTTTTATTTTTGACCATGGCGTTGTCAGTTTGTTTTCGATCTATGAGTTTGACTGTCCCTCTGGTATCTTTCGTCCCCCTTTGTCAAATAGTGAATAAGGGAATTTATCGCAATTTTTCAAATATGTTGTCAATTCTTTGATGAGTTTTTTTTTCATATACAAAATGCCGTTTGATGCAAGTTTACATTGGAGATCTTTATCCTTACATTGCAGTTAAAACTTTTGTTAAACAATTTGAAATGGATTCCCAGATAAGAAGACTAGGTTGTTGATTATTTGTTTTAATTTACATTTATTCATGCTGGTATGTTATGTTATTTCTATTGATATTTTATAATATAAAGATCGACGAAACCAGAAATATATATCAATATATAAGGTTATCCGTTATCCAGATACATTGTCGTATATGAACAAAAAATACAACAAGAGGTCCATATACTCTTGGCATGTATTTATTCATTGACCAGCTTGAAAGAACCGATGTTATGCTTTTGAGGTGCTACTGCAATAAGTTTAAATGTTGAATATGTCATTACTATGGTAATAAATGTATGTACGGTTTGCTTCACAAAAACACATTGATACAAAACAAACAGGAGAAGAATTAAGCATTTCAAAAACACGAGAGCAGACAAAGAAATCCTCCATCTTACAAGGAATAAATATCTGATAATAAACGAAATATTTATTATGATTCATATGCAGAATAACTTATCGGAATTATATTAAGCGTTTATGTTCCTTTAGATTTCCCTGCATGGTCACCAAAATGTCCTGTCTCTTATTTCAGAATTTTATAAACATTTTATTGTAGTTACATGTAACGATCCAGAGACTAGAAGTTGTGGTAATGCGAGTGTACTTATTGATGTAGGAGGCACTACTGTAGGCGCAGAAGCAAATTTGTCCTGCTTGAATGGATATACCCTATGGGGGAATGATTCCATCGTATGTTTAGATTCAGGGCAGTGGAGTCAACTAAATGCATATTGTAAGAAATTTATCTATATTTTTTCTATACATATTTAAGTAGTGTTTTGGCATACTTGTAACTCCCTCAATAAAAGCGGTATATCCATATTAGTATTTTGATAACTTTTTAAAATTACGACATTGATATGTGTGCCGTTCTATATCAAGCCCCAATTCGTAGACTGTAATCGTTCCACAAAATGTATGTTCAAAAGCTGTTTTGCTCAAAGAGAGATTGAGTTTCTGCGCCCCATTTCAATTCCAATGGATTTTATTAAAAAAACTTGGTCGCATGTTTTGATAATACATGCCCTTTTACAAGTTGAGATATAATCGTTAATAAAAGTGTCCTTGCTTGTTTTATATGAATTTACCTTTCATACAGTAAAATAGTTAATAATACTTTTTCAAAAATGTATATCTGTTCTCGCTGTTTATATATAAATGTTATGTTTTTGAAATCACTAAAATGTGAATGGTCTGGAATACATGTATCGAATTTCTATACTCATATATATTAATTATATTATGTAAGACAATTATTCGAACAGTTCGTCCCTTATAACAGAGTATTGTTATATTCATATACAACTTTTCGGTCCATTGACATAAACAAAATAGGCCGGTCTAATTCAGAACACGTCATTTCAAGTTTTGAAGAAAACACGTTTCAATATTCCCCTTATTCAATCAATTGGAGCAGTCTGATTAGCGCTTAATGGATTGCAAAAGTGGTTTACAGTTTATTTGATATAATGAACATATATTTATGTTATAAAAATTAATTTTGTTTTATTGAGTTTACATTTTTTTATTGTTATTGAGGATTCCTTATTATTCGTGAGATACTATTTTCTTGTGAATTTCGTGGGTTCAGGTAAACCACAAATTTAAATGAGAAACGAAGTACACATTTTTTATAGGCTGGTATGCAGACTTTTGTAACACCACGTTGATCTAATGCGTTAAACCCGTTTCAACTGATTTTTATAGTTTGTTCTTATGTTGTGCTGGTATACCATTGTCCAAGGTAAGGGGAAGGTTGGCGCCCGTGAACATGTTTAACCCCATCACATTCTGTATGTCCATGTCTAAAGTCAGAAGCCTGTAATTCATTGGTTGTTGGTGCTGTATATTCTACTTGTATTCCGTTTATTGTTTTGTGCATAAATTAGGCTGCTTGTTTTGTTTTGAAATTGTCATTTTGGGGCTTTGTATAGATTGCAATCAAATATCCATTAAAAAAAATTTCCCTCAAATCCACGAAGATTGATACCCATTAAGAATCAATGAATCCACAATGCTAGAGATGAACTAGATTTTGTTCGGATAGCCCATCCGAAATGAGGTAGAAGATCTAGTACTTTATTTACTGTTACAGTATTACTATTACTCTGATTTTACTTTTTTAAGGTATTCCGGATGACATCGGAGAACCAAATATCCAGTCATTCGACGGGGGTATATACTTATTTAACGATTTTACTAAGAGTAATATTAGTCAAGCAAAGGTAACCATTGTTATTATATTGAAAGTGATATATATTGTGATAAAATGTATCTGTTTCTATGAGCTAATTTTACAAAACAAAGAGACATTTGTGACTTAAACAGTCTTTGCAGTCCATATTGTATATCAAGATGACGTCGTTCAGTGTAAAAACGTTCCTGGGTTTACCGTTTGCCATTCCTGATACAAAAAGTTTTGAAATAACAGGCTACCGTCAATGCGGGATTGAAAGATACGAATAAAAATGTTGGTTGAGTATTGCTTTTCTCTATGAGAAACTGTCATTTGTGATTAATATATTTACTTGAGAATACTCATTAATTTCATTTGCAATAAATTGTTAAAAGGTGATAATATTATATGTGTTGTTAATCTAAGTACTACAGATGCTATACACTTTTAATAATTTTTTTGAAGGAATACTGTACCAACATTTGTTCAACTCTCATCGAAATAAATAACCAGGAGGAAGACCAATTCGTTTTTGGTATCTTTATAGCTTTACAAGCTGGTAAGCTCAGAAATATGTAAGCATATCTATAAGTGTTGTGTTTCTTAACAACTGAAAGAATTATGGAATATCCGTTTCACAGATGATAGCGGATATGTTCATATTGTCGTAACTACAATCCTGTCACTTTTTCACGAATGTGACCTACCGAATTCGACTTATTACCGGGTGCCATTACTAACATGATCATCACGACGGGTGCCACATGTGGAGCAGGATCTGCCTACCCTTCCGGAGCACCTGATATCACCCCCAGTTTTTGGTGGGGTTTGTGTTGCTCAGTCTTTGTTTTGTGTACTATTATTTGTCTGTTGGTCATTTTTCATTTTTAGTCATGGCGTAGTCAGTTTATTTTCGACTTACAAGTTTGAATGTCCCTCTGGTATGTTTTTTTTTATTCTGATTTCTGACAGAAATATGTTGGTACACAAATATATTTCAAGGTAACTACACCCTGAGATCACACCCGGTTTTTGGTGGAGTTCCTGTTGCTTAGTCTTTGTTTTCTATGTTGTGTTTGGTGTACGTTTGTTTGTCTTTTAGTCTTATTCTTTTTTTTCCATGGTGTTGTCAGTTTATATTCGACTTATGAGTTTGAATATCCCTTTTTATATGTTTCGCCTCTCTTTTTGACATAGTGACTAAAATCTATAGGTATCTTTCTTTTAATATTTGAGCATAAATTCAATCAAGTCAATATGCAGTTTTTGATTTAGAATCTGGAAACCAGTTATCTGCTCAAATTATTATATTTTTGAAGTTTTAGTCTTTACCTTGAGTATAGTGACCTCAAAGTCAATAGGGATCAGTGGCGGATCCAGAAATTTTCATAAGTGGGGGCCCATTGACTGCCTAAGAGGGGGCCCGCTCCCGTCATGCTTCAGTGATTTCCTATATAATCAACCAATTTTTTCCCAAAAATGGTGGGGGGGGGGGGGGGAGGCCCTGAAAAACCCTCTTAATCCGCATCTGGGGATAGTCATCTCATTACGCGACCATATATCCAAGTATAGATGCAATATGTGGAATTGGTTAAGCATCCAGGAACAACTTTGCTGACAATGTATCTAAGTGCAGATGCAATCCGATATACATTTTTGGATTAAGCTACTGGAAAATAACTGTCTGACGGACGAACCGAAATCAATATACCTACCATCGCTACTTTGTAGCGTTGGCTTTAATTATCATTTTGCGGTATGAAAACTCTTAATTAAAAACATATATAAAAATTATCTTTCAAACGGACATGATTTATAACATAACTCTGAAATTTTCGGTTAATAAATTAAGAAATTGTTAAGAAACTTAGGTTCCAACTTCTTTTGGCAAAGTTGACCGTAGATTGATATGTCTAATCTTTTCATGTCCCTTTTGATCATAAAGTCCATAAATCGATTATTTGTTACATTCTTGGCTTTCAAATTTGTTGACTTGACCTTTCCTGATAAAAAAAATAAATAAAGGAAAGCGCTCTTGACGCATACTATTTATGATTTGATTTTTTTATTAAATGTATGTACCCGTATGCATTAAACATCTGAACTTAATTAAATGTTCCTTTAAATTAGTTATCACTAGTAACGTGAATTATCCAAGTCGTATGCATATATTACTTCACTAAGGAAAACTGAAATTGGAACATTTCTTTAATCACAGTTTGATAAAGTCTAGCTATTTGCATGTACTCACCCGTGAATTATGTTGAATTGACTGTTTACATTGATTGAACGATGCATACTGTTATAAATATTTGGGGTTTGAATTGATGGCGGTGTTAAATTGAATTTGAGAAATACACAAACCAAACACTAAAATATCCAAACAAATGCTAAATTGGCCCCTTAAGGATGTTCGCTCCTCTTGGTTTTGAATTTTTGCCAGATATTCGGAATCCTCGGGTTTTATCCATGTAGTGCCATTAAAAATTGTTGTCCACTAACCCCTACTTTTCTCTCCATAATATGATTACATATAGTTTAAAATGTCATTTTTGAAAATATTATAAAATCCTTGTTATTTTTTCATAGTTTTTGAATGAAAAAAGGTACCAATGTTGAATGTATGAAAAATCAAGAGAGAATTATTTCCCGCCAAATTTTCAATGGCTTATATCTCGAAAACAAGCACACGGACCCTTCATTTGTTTCTGCTTGTTTAGTTCCTTTATTTATATACTATCAATCTATAACAGTATTTTAAAAAAATTGTTATTTTGAAACGCGAACATCCTTTAAGAAAATTTTGTTTTGATGGACAAGCATTGGAAGAAAAAAATATATACACGTTCATGTAAAGATGAAAATATATCGAAATTATCCATTTCAATTTTATAGTATTAATCTGATTAAACTTCAATCACAGGAGGAGTCGTTTAATGACGAAGTGTGATATACTTAAAACATCTCGTTGCATATCACAGCTTAAGATTGGTATATGTTAGTAAACTCTTACCTGCAAATAAATTTGTCAAATTTGTTTCATATCAAGGTTTTGGCACTGACCATTCATTTTTAATGGGTTTTGATAGGTGGAGGTGCATGTTTTCCCCCATCCTCACCAGAGACAAACATATTTTTTTTTTTAACAATACGAGATCACGATTTTTAAAAATTATTAGATACAATTAAAAATGAACTTTTTTTATCACATCTTTGATACAACATTTCAAAAATCTGGTAGGGTCAATATTTCATGAATTCATTTCACGCCAGGTGCATTTAAATTTGATTTTTTTTCAATTTTCACTGAAATGCACAGTATGCAATAAATGTGTAATGTAAGGTTTAAATTCTTATTTGTGTATTATAGAATATTTCAGTTGTAATTCATAAATGCCTAAAGGTGACTCAAAACTGCAATTTTGCTAGATTTCGGAACATCTTGAACAATTATTCAAATACTGACATTTGAAACAAAAACTAAAATTCTACAGGAAGTAATTACATAAACTGATTTTAAGATTCAACTTAAGTTTTTTTGCTTGAAGTGTTCCTTC